CCTTCCTTCCTTCCTTTTTTTTTTTTTTGAGAGGTTTTTGCTATAGGGCGCATGCGCTTGCCAGACACACAGAGAGAGACAGAGAGACAGAAAGCGAGAAATCACCCCCAGGGGGGATGGTCACGTCTCAATTCCTTCTCCTCCATTCTCCTCTCGGGATCTTGGGCACGCACGCACACGCGCCCAGTGTGAGTTTTAAGCCACCGGGTCCGGGACTTGAGCCGCGGTTGGCTACCTGGGAGTCCAGCAACATAGCCATTACACCTACTTCTGGTCCCCAGAGCAATACTTTTCTTAGGAAGGTGCTCTTATGAGCTTTGGGACAGAACCCAGGCTAATGCTTGATTACTCAGTCTTTGATTTTGGCTCCTTCTCTCTTCCATTTCTCTCTACTGTTTGCATAAAACCTGACATGATGGAGCTGGCCTATCTTTGAAACAGTCATCATGTTCATTTTTATCTATCTGCTCCATGAGTCCAAAGAAGCTGCACCCTCTCTTGCAGCAAGAACCAGACATAGCATGAAAGTGACACACCAAGAGGTAGCCCTGTTGGTAGGAGAAGCCCACAGCAGAGAGACCTACCTACCCAGCTTGGCACATTGGCTCACCTTTCTTGAGTCTGGTGGCCCGTGACTTTAACTGTTCTATACATTTCTGTTGAATTCTTCCTATTTCCACAGTTTGGCATGCTGGGAAGAATATAGACTTTGTGGTAAGAATAAACTGGACTTACATTCTGGTTTTATTATTTCCTAGCACTGGAGCTTAGGGCATACCATATAACTCTCCTAAGTCAATGCTGTCATCTGAAAAATCTACCTTGTTTGCAAGGAGACTACGGACTACATGTAGTATCATGCCTGAGAAGGATCTAGCATGGCTGTCATTTGACAAATGGCAGCTGTTGTTATTATCATTGGTCTCTGTCCTTACCAGATTTGTCTTTGGTACCTCCCTATAGTGACTCTACTTTTCAGCCTTGGTCATTCACATTCCAAGAAATTTGGAAAACATCCCTCCTGGCTTGATCCTGGATATTCCTATCGGAGCACCTGTCCCACAGATGGCATTCCTAACCAGACCTTCAACTTGGCTCTTTGATCTCTATTTTATTCCCAAGGTGAAGACATATAGGAAAGCATTTTTCACTCTAGTTTAGCCTCATAGCTTTGCTCATCCCCTAAATCCTCCTTTGACTCATTTAGGACATGGTGGGGCCACCTTTTGGTTTGGAATTTCTAAGTAATTCAATGTCAATATGGAATGCGCTTCTTTTAAGTAATATTTATATGTGTGCATATGTATATTTGTTCAAGTTGGCTCATTTTCCCCTTGATTGTTTATTGCTCTTTTTAGATCTGCAAAAATTGATCACTTCTTGGTTTGGAAAGAATTATCTACCTCCTTTGAGTTCCAAACCAGTGAGTTTCTGGGAGCCAAATATGTTTAGCTCAAAGAATATTTTCATAGTGTTTTGTTTAAAAACACATTTCCAATGCTTAGTGTTGAAAAGGCAGTTTCACATTAACTTCTCTCTTTTTTTGTTCCGTGTCTGCCTTTTTAAAAAATTTCTTTAAAATTTTATTTATTATTATCATAATTGTTTATATTACACTGAATTACCTATATCTTTACATAAATAATGGAATGCTTCACAAATTTGCATGTCATCCTCGTGAGGGCCATGCTAATCTCTGTATCGTTCCAATTTTAGTATATGTGCTGCCAAAGTGAGCATTAGCATTAACTTCTCTTTGGGAAATGAATCAACACATGTAGAACTTTTCCCCGTACTATGATACTATCTGAAGTTTAATTTGCTTGTTCATTTGTATATGCTTATACCCTACTCAGAACTCTAAAAGTGTGACCGTACTTCAAGTCCGATCATTATTATGCATTTACAAAGGGGTTGAAGAGTTGTTATTTATTATTATTTCAAGAATAATGTATACTCAAATTTAAACAGTACAGAATTTTTAAGCTGTAACACTGTTAGTAGTTATATAACCTTCCAGATGTTCATACATACAAACAAATGGATGTGAAAATACATATGTGTCTCTGTGTGTGTGTTTACGTACTTACTGCTCTGCAACTTGCTTTTCCCCAAGAGTGAACTGTCATTTCTATGAGGGTAAATAAAATTCTAACCAAGTATATAATGCCATGGAATAGAAGTATTACTTTAAGTCAAATTATTCATTTTTCTTTTTTTTTAATTTGCCCAAGGGCACATGTGCTAGATCGACAGAGAGACAGAGAGGGAAAGGAAGAAAGCACCTCTCAATGGGATGTCTTCATGCTGCAATCCATTCTCCTCCATCTCTCCATCCTGTCAGATTTAAGGCATGCATCCACACATGCCAAGGGTATTTTCAAGCTGCCAGGACTGGGATTTGAACCATGTGGTTGGCCATGTGGGATGTAGCTCGTTTACTCACTAGTCTATGGGGCTGAACCAGTTTATTAATTCTTCATCCTTCCAATCATAGGACTTCTGGTTCATATAAGATTTAACTGAATTATCCCTAATTTTTTAAACAGTCAACTATTTCTGCCTGGAAATTCATCAATAAATAATCATTAGTAAATGGAGACCCACCACAAACCTAGTATTACTAGGAAAGAGGGGACTTATTTAATTAGAAAGTTTTGTGTACTTAAGTGGAAATACATAAATGACATGGTGGAAGAAATCACTGCACTCACTAGAGGCCACTGACCTTGGGTTCTAGATGCTTTCTATTAGACAAGTACCCGATATTGCTAGGCTTCAAAAACTTCTTCAAGATGGGGATACTAATATCTGCCTACCTAAATCAAAAGTTTTTGTGAGAGGTATATAAAATATATGCAGTGCTTTGAAAACTATCAGTTCTGTGATTGTTGTTTAATGATATCAGTGAGTTTGGTTGAGCAATTGGGAATAAGTTGCAGCTTGCACTTCTGTAGACATCGCTAATCATGCCAGGTGTGGGAGGCCCAAAGATCACAAATTTTTTGTTATACTTCCCATTGAGAGATGGTGTCTAATTTTCTCACTTGGAATTTCAACTAGTAGAATGCAACAGAAGTAATGTCCTTGGGATCTCAAAGCTAGATCTTAATAAATCTTATAACTTCTGCCCTGGTCTTTTGGAAAATTTACTCTAAGTGAACTCAGCCATCCTGTGAAAAGACCAAGTAATCTGAGATCACCACTCAGAATAGGTGAGGAAGAAAGAGATGCCTGTCCAATACCAGCTGTTCAAGCTTTAGCAGCTTTGGTATGGCAAAGAGCCATCTTACAGAGTGTAACATGTAGGTCAGACCAATACTTGTACCCAGCACACACAAAACATCCCTACAACTCAGTAAAACAAAATTCAATTAGAAATAACAAGAGTTGAAAAGAGAGTTCACAACGTAAGATATATAAATGGCCAATGAACACATGAGAAAATACTCAATATCGTTAAGTTGAAATCAGAGAAATTAAAATGAAAAGTTATGGCTCAGCAGGTGGTGTGGTGGTTAAGATACTGGAGTCCCACATGATCGACTATTTAGTGTGAGTCCCAGACTTGGTGGCTGGAAAAACAAGTGAGATACACGTGTATGTGCCCCAAATCCCAAGAGAATGGAGAAGAAAAGGTTGCACTGTAGCTATTCCCCCTGGGGGGTGATTTCTCACTTTCCCCCTCTCTCTGTCTCTTTTGCTCTGATAAAAACAAAAACAAACCCGCAAAGATACACCACTTCATACTTACTTTATTAGTTAGAACTATAAAGCCTGATGATAACATTGTTGGCAAAGACATAGAACTCTCGTACTCTCCTGGTGGAAATGTAAAATGATACAATGACTTGAATGGTTTATTGAAAAATTAAAACATATATCTACCACAGAAACCAGCCATTTTACTCCTAGGCATTTAATCAAGAAAAATGAAAACATATGTCCATATAAAAATGCAAACATGAATGTTCATAGCAGCTTTATTCATAATATACAAAAACTGGAAACGACTCCAATGTCCATCAACAGGTGAGTGAATGAACAACTGTGATATGTCCATGCAATGCAATGTTGCTCAGTACTGGAAAGGAATGGACTATACCTGCATCGTGGTTGAGTCTCAGAATAAGTATGCTAAGTGAAAGAAGCCAGACAAGAGTACATATTGTGTGACTTTATTTATATAAAATTTTAGAGAATACACACTAATGTACAGTGATAGAAAATAAATCAGTGTTTGCCTGGGGACAAGGTAGGAGGGGGATGGACTTCCAAGGGGCATGAGGTGATCCAGATTTTTGTCTTTATTGTACTAATGGTTTCATAGGTAACAGAAAATAAAGGTGATCCTAGTGATTTGCACCTTCTAGTATTCACCCCTTTTCATAATTCCCTCTTCCTGAGTCTAGGTGGGGACTGTGAATTGCTTCTAAGGAATACAATGCAGCAAAAGTGACAAGCTGTCATTCCTGTAACTACATTACACTATTGAAAAGTCCATCTTAGCAGACTGCATTTAGAGACTTCCTTTGTGTGCTTAGATGAAGGGCTGTTAGAGAGGTGCAGATGGAAAGGAGCTAAGAGTGACTTCTAAGAACTGTGATCACCTCTAGGACTGAGAGTGGCCTTCAGCCAACAGTTAGCAAGAAGTAGAGGCCTTCAATCTTACACCCACAAAAAAATGAATTCTGCTAACAATTTGAATGAACTTGGAAATGCTCTTCTTCAAGTAAGCCACTATATGAAAATTGAGCCCAGCAGACATTTTGATTACAGCCTTGGGAAAGTCTTAGTAAAAGCTTCTATCAAGTTGCATCTGGATTCCTGACCCACAGAAACTGTGGGATGATAAATATGGAGTTGTTGAAAAAGTCATGATGCATTTTTGCATATAAAAACATGAACAAATACGTCATTACTTTTCCAAAGACCCAATAAGTTGTTTTAAGTCACTAAGTTTGTAGTAAATTATTATACATCAGTAATAACCTAATAATATATATATAATATATATATATAATATATACTATATTTCATGTATATGTTTGTGTGTATGTGTGTGTGTATACACTTATCAAATTGTGTACTTTAAAATATGTACTTCCTGGGACCAGCAGATGCCATAATTGTTACATTGCTGTACTCCTACATGGCCGACCGTGTTTCAAGTCCTGGTCCCGGTGGCTTGAAACTCACTTGCATATGTGCATGTATGCCCAAAATCCTGAGAGGAGAGTGAAAAAGAAGGGATTGTGGCATGGCCATCTCCCCTACGGGGTGATTTCTCACTTTCTTTCTCTCTGTCTCTCTGTGAGTGCACACGCACTATAGCAAAAATAACTCTAAAAATAAATAAATAAATAAATAAGTACTTCCTTTTTTAGGTTTTTTCTTTCTTTTTTATTATTATTATTATTTTTCTATAAAGCATGTGAGCTCATGGGATGGGGGAGTTGGGGGTTGGGGGAGAGAGAAAGTGAGAAATCACCCTCTCAGAGGGCATGGCCACACCACAGTCCTTTCTCCATTCTCTCAGGATTTTAGGCACACACACACACATGTGCCCAGCATGATTTTCAAGCCACCAGGTCCAGGACTTGACCTGCATAGTCAATAGGGACCCAGCTGCCTTAACTTTCATGCCACCTGCTGGCTCTAAAATATGTCCTTTTTTTTTTTTTTTTATTTAAGATTTTTGCTATAGGGCACATACATTCAACAGCTAGAGGGACCAAAAGCAAGAAACCACCCCTCGGGGAGGATGGCCACGCCACAATCCTTTCTCCTCCAGTCTCCTTTCGAGATTTTGGGCATGCACGCACACACACAGACATCATTCTTTTAACCACCTAGCACATAAAATTTCTCATTACTTGGCTAGTCATCCCATTGTGTGGGGTCCTGCTTCCCACCGTGAAGGCTGAAAAGGAGCCAAATTTTCTTCTTTCAGGTCAAGGCTTAGCAATCAGATGTGCTTTCTCCAGCCTTTGACTCCTCAGCTGATGATGTCAACAATAAGGTCATTGGGAGTTTGTTCATGCTGGTGGCATCCAGAGTCCAGAGGCAGCAGTGACTGAAGCTGAGGCAGCAGGGGTGTCAGCACCATCTGCTCCAGTGATGACGTAACTTGGGCTGTGGCTGCTGCTGGCGAGCCTGGAGTTCTGGCCATTTTCCCAGTCTCCTTCTCCAGCCTTCCAGGTTATTCTGAGTCACCAATACCTTTCCAATAAGTTCATATTCTGAGGTCAGTTTTCTGTAGTGTGCAGCCATGAACACATTCTACAGAAAGCCTTCTAGAGTATTAAAGAAGGAAGATCACATGGGCAATGTCCTTTCTGACTCAGAAATTTTTATAGAACTTTTCTTAGTGTTTCTTTGTGTTTTCATTTTTTAAGGAACTATTTTATTTAATTTTATTCATTGTCATTATTTCATTTGAAGTAGACCAGAGAGGGACAAGGAAAGTGAGAAAGCAAGCTGCCAGGTCCAGGACTCGAACCCCAGTCAGCCATGTGAGAGTCCAGCCACCTTAACCACCATGCCGCCTGCTGCCCTGTTACTTTGTGTTTTCTAACCAGAGGTCTGGAAGGAAGAAGCTTGCGTAGGTATTGGCCTGTGCATAAAGATTTTCTCTATTTAGTACAGTTGAATTTTTCTCACCTTGGAAAAGAAACAGGGTCAGCCATGGCCTAATGGTTAAGACAGCTGGATCCCTTATGGCTGACTATGCAGCTTAA